TGAGACCACAGGCACCCGCCACAATGCCTGGCCATTTTTGGGTTGCAGTTGTTATTGATATTTAGCTGACCTGGGCCAGGTTCAAACCCACCACCCTTGGTGCATGTTGTTGGCACTGTAACCACTGTGCTACGGGCACCACCCAATATATAAATTTTTTAAAGTGACATTTCAAACCAGTGGAGAGAGGATGAGTTATTTGATTGAAAGTATTGAGACAATTAAAAACACATTAGAGAAGGAAAATGTGAAAGGTTTACTTAATACCATTAGGCAAAATAAATTCTAGACAGTTTAGAGTTAAATTTAAAATGAAATAATTTTTTAAAACAACCAAAAAGCAGGCTTTTCCAAGCATAATGGTAAAGGAAGAATCTATTCCGTATAAGGGAAGAGATTGTCTAGACTGACCAAAAAGAATTCTATATGGAAACACCTTAACTGAAACTGAAAAATAAATGATATATTGGGGGGAAATGATGAAACAGATGCCAAAAGGTACCTAAGTTTCATAACATAGAAAGAGTGTCTGCACTCAGTAAGAAAAAGATTGGTCCCTACCAGAAACAAGGCAAAGCCTGGAAGTAAGAACACAAACTCAGAGATCCAAAAGACCCATACACATATGTGGGTAAGTATTTTGTTACTGCCCAAACAGATACCAACGAAATAATAGTAAGATCCGGTATCGTAATATCATTTAATTTAGTTATTTGAAAATTTTGTAAGGAAAAAAACCCTAGGTGAAGATAGTTAATGTCTTTGCAAGGTAATATTCATAGCTTATGTATCCTGTTTAGTTTAATGATAGTAAAATATTTACTTTTCCCACTCAAATTCCGGGAAATGATGAGAAACTTTGCCATTTTCTACAGCAAACATATAACAATGACTCCAGGTCACAGATTACAGTAGCGACTACGGCAACTCCTTCAATACCTTAGGAGAGTTTTTGGCTCTTTTCAGTAGACCAGGAAGACACTCAGCATCCTCCTGGCAAGACAGAGAGTGTGAGTGGAGTCCGTCTGCTGGATGCTCCTTACTCTCTGATTCACAAATCCAAACATCTCAGAAGTTCTTATGTCCGCCGGATCCTTCCTTACAACCTCATTAGGTACCAGTGTAACTTGTGATTTTCTGGTCTTAACTGTAGGCATGGCTGAAACAAAGCATTTAGAGTTCATGATTTTCTATATCCATTCCTCTGACTGACACAAATACAGCGACCCTGTTGATTAAATAAAATTTCTTACAAAGAAAAAATACTTTCCATGGAAATCAAAGGTGACATAGTGACATGACAGAAAGCTTTAGAAGATCTTTGGAAGTGAGCAGGCTAAAAGATTTACTAACTTGATTTTTTTTCCAACTATAATCCTACAGTTCCTTTCCTGGAAGTGAAGTCAATTATTCACTCCTTCTTCTTCCCCTTTGGAACTTAATTTTAATTTTTGGTATTTTCCTAGGACATGGTGGACATTCTTATCTGAAGGAATGGCTGTGGTGGGCAGGATTATTGTCAAGTAAGTTCTTAGTACTGAGAATGGTGTTTGATTGGAAATGATAAATAGATTATGTGATAAACAATGAAAATGATAGTAGATTATATTATCAAGATTGATTCATTTATCTTCCTGCCAAGGGTAGAATTTAAGTCTAAATTTTTGTGTGCGGCTATCATATATTCTCTGTACTAAGAAATCAGATGATTGCTGCATCGAAATATTAAAGCCCAGCCTGAACCTTCCCCTTCCCCAAAAGGGCACCACAGAGCTGGTTTCATAACACCTGCAGTCACCTCCCTCTGCAGGCGGAAGTCCTACGGCTTCCCTGTATTTTCCCCCACCAAGTAAGACAGTTCAGCATTTGTGAGATACTGTTATAGGAAGGAACTCTGGGTATCTTTTCCTTAATAAGTGGTAGAATCTAAAAGAATCGTGAATAAAAATAGTCTAAATGTGTCTAGACCTTTCAGTTTTTAAGGCATTTTAATATCCATTTTCCTACTTTATTTGAATGAAAGTTGACAAGGACTATACTGGAAGGGTCCCAGATAGATATTTGGATGATTCTCTTTTTCTCTTTCTCTCTTACTTGCATCTCCCCCAGCTTCTCCCCACACTTTAGACTGAAAATATAAGGAGAATATTATGGCTACCTTACCATTTTATTCTCGCCATGTAAAAAGGCTTATTCCAGTACTGAAGAGGGAAAAGCATACATTAGAGATTAGGTAAGTGACGAGACAAAGGGTACTTGGATCATAAAGTCACAGTATTTTCCTGGAACGCTATCTAGAAAGATAAGAATACAAGTAATATAAAGAAGTACTCCAGGAAAGCATAGTATTCTAAGAAAACTGCTGTGGCTCTTTTTATGAGAGGAGTTTCCTGATTATTCTGTCCTGTGAGTTTAGATTTGTTTTACGATGTTTTCATAATGCTCGTGACTCTTGCTGATGTGGGGGATGCAGCATAGCCCCCAGAGAAACGGAGAAAGCAAACCAGTGTTCCTTTATCTGCAATAAGCGTTTGCCTGCTGGAGTCTGGCGGTATGAAGATACTGCGTTCCGTGGGCCTGTGTCCAGTTGTGATCTGTGAGAATGATTTGGCCCCAGTGCAAGATCCCAGCTCTCAGAATGATTCCCCTCATCCTGGGTAGTTATCTGCATCTGCACTATCTCAGGGAAGGCTAGAGTTCCTGGGGGGTAAGAAAAACATCCCATCCAGGAGCATGTCAGGAAGCCTTGAAAACAGCTGTAAGCGACTGAAACACTGTACTTGCCTGTAGATCGGGTGCAGTTCAGAGAGGCCTGACTTCCTGGGCCTGTCCTGGGCATTCCTGGCTGCCCCACCTAGATGCTGAATCTCTATAAAATGTTCTGATTTTGCAAGTGGGTTTTGGTTGTCGTTGCTCATTTGCAAAGCAGTAGATATTCTGGAGCAAATGGAATAATTCTCTACTTACGGCAAAGCTACCTCCACTAGGTTCGTCAGAGTAACCAGATATGTGTTCAGTACTGAATTAACTGAAATCCCTATTAAAAGTCATTGCAAATGTGCATTCATCTGTCACCATTGTATTAGTTGAGTTTGTAGGAGTTACAGTTTATCTGTGTTTGTAGGAGTTGAGTGTTTGTAGTTAGTTGAGTTTGTAGGAGTTACAGTTTATCTGTGGCCCTCAATACCAGTTCTCTCCTACCCTCTGCAAAATAAACTGCCTCGTTCCTTTTAGCTACTAGTTCAGTGTCTTTGAGGGAAAAGCCCAATGGTTTCCAAGGCACATTTGTTTTTCTCTTCTTAAAAATAAGTAACTTCTAAATCAGTGCTTCTGCTTACATTCTAGTGGGAGCAGGAGAGGCTGCGAATTTTGCTGCTTACACCTTCGCACCTGCCACCTTGGTCACCCCCCTGGGAGCTCTGAGTGTTCTCATAAGGTATGTGCACAATAATAAACTTGGATTCTGTAGGTATTTTAATACCAAAGTCAATGTAAACCATAAGAAACATATTTATAGCTAACTATCTCTCCAAACAACCACAACAAGAAAAGTCTAGACCAGCCTGGGCTCCGAGAAGACCCCAAAATCATTTCTGGGACCGCTGACAAGCTTTGGACAAGTCACTTAACCTCAGTTTCCTCATCTGTAAAATGGGACAGTATTTTTTTTCCTTGCCTAAAAAACAAATCACAAAAGTAGTAACTTGAGAAGACTACAAAACAAATAGCAGTAGAACTGGGAAATAGATTGTCATATTATTATTTAGAAAACCTATGACAAGGTGAGCTTGCTTTCCTGCTAACATAAAGTAATTGTGTGTTGTATTTGTGATGACGCAATGAAGCTGGCAGATTTTGATCTCTCCCCGAGCACATTTCCAGACTCCGTTTAACTCTCTCTCGTCATGGTGTTTAGTGACCATAGTTATCAGAGGACTTAAAAAACACGGTGCTTAGGCTGAATTTCAACTCTCACTACAATTCTTGCGCTGTCTGCTAGATACTTCTGTTTGGAGACCCTTTGGTACTAGAATAGGAAAAGTTTTCATAAAATATGAATCTATTTTTATTGAATGGGTCTTTATTATGATCCCAAATGAACATGTTCAATCAGTCCATGAAGTCTTAGGCTATCATTTAACTGTCTGGGGTCTTTTTGTATTTTCTCTTCCATTCATTATAAACGTCTAGTAGAAAGCTTATGATTGGGCCTACCCTTTTCCATTTACTTTTTTAGTAAGATCCTTGTGAGAAATGGATGAGTAATACACACGAAGAGCTTACAAAACTTGTCTCTGCATTGACTAGTTCTTCGCAGCTGTAGTGTTTTTACCGGGGCTGCAGTTCTACAAGTGGCCACGTGAGGGCGACTCTAGGAAAGCACCTGGTAATTGATCTTAGTCGGAGACAGATGGGCACTGATAATTCGAGTCCTGGGAATACTGGTTATTAGAGGAAGGAAGCTGGTGTGCAGGAGCCAGAGCAAGCCTACTGGAGGAGCAGTGGGTTGGTACACTCTGGTGTCCATCCAGTGCCAACATGTAATTTCCTGAGGCCATGGCAGCTGAAGTGTTAAAAGCAACATGGAATCGGTGGGAGGATCCTGGCAGTGGCAGGTACAATGGAAGTACAGGGTGTCCCAAAAGTTGTCATACATACGGAAAATGAGAAATTACAGCCAAATGTATCTTTGTTTACAAAATATTCATTACAGGATTTTACCAAGTATCCTATATGTGTTGACTACCTCTTTCTACACCCCCCCCCCAAGTTTTCTCTCCCACCCATGGCAAACATGTTCCAAGATATCTATTGTTATTTTTCATTTGCCATGTTATCTATTTAATTTTTTCCTATGTATAGAAACTTTTGGGACACTGTGTATTTCAATATTTTTATGGTCTGTGTGATTATAATAGTGTGAAATAGCTAAATATTAGCCCTGAGTAAAGAAATTCTTTTTCAGGAATGTATCTTTCTTTGAAACTTTCATGGGCACAGATGCTCTAAATGGATCAGGCCAGTAAGATATAAAAGATCTTCCATTTTGCTTAGCTTTGCAGAAGAAGATGAAGGACATTGAAAAGGAATTGAGAAAGACCTCTTGGAAGTCATGGGAAGATTACAGGGATAAACGTAGAATGTCTAGTACAGCTCTTCAAATACAAAAGCAATGAAGCAGATGGGAGTGACTATCAATTCTGAGCTTCAGATTAATCATGTAGTTCAGTATCACACAGCAAATTCAAGTCAGCCCATTGGGATACAAGGTGTCATGTAGCACAGTATGACTTCAGAGCTGCCATGGGATTCAAAGGTCTTGAACTATGGTGATTTTATTTTTTTCTCTCCGAACAGTGCAATATTGTCTTCTTATTTTTTAAATGAGCACTTGAACATTCATGGAAAAATGGGCTGCATATTAAGTATACTGGGGTCAACTGTGATGGTTATCCATGCCCCACAAGAAGAGGAAGTCACTTCTTTGCATGAAATGGAAATGAAATTAAGAGATCCAGGTCTGTGATCCAACTTACAGAAACAAATTCTGCTCTACTTTCTCTCCTCATCAAATGATATTTGTAGTATGTAGTCATATTGTAATAGGCTTCCTACAAACCTATCGGTGGATCATGAGATACCGTATGGTTTGGGGGAACATTACAGATCTTCTAAAAAGATAACAGAACTTACGTTCATGCTTCCCCTCTATACAATGAAAGGGGAAGATGGTGGAGGTAGAAGACCCTGGTTAGAGTGCCGCTGTGGTGTCATAGCTCACAAGAAGCTCAAACTCTTGGGCTCAAGCGATCCTTTTGCCTCAGTCTCCCAAGTGTCTGAGACTACAGCCACCTGCCATAAGGTCCAGCTAGTTTTTCTGTTTTTAACGCAGACAGTGTCTTGCTCTTGCTCAGGCTGGTCTTGAACTCCTGAGCTCAAGCAATACACCAACCTCGGCCTTCTAGAGTGGTAGGATTACAGGTGTGAGAAACAGACTTATAGTCAAACCCAAATCATTGCTACTTTCTATCTCTGAAAATAAAAAGTGAATCTGCCAATACTTGCCCTACCCAACAGTGTTATTGGTGAGATTAGCATTTTCTGAAGTGTGATTCTTTTCCCTTCCTCACAGGATTTATTTCCTTCGCGGTGATCATAATTGTGATCTCATTGGTGCTGATTTTGATTGTGGCTCCCAGGAAAGGACAGACCAATATATTGGTCTACATTTCAATCTGTTCTTTGATTGGAGCATTTTCAGTTTCTTCCGTCAAAGGTCTGGGAATTGCCATTAAGGAACTTTTGGAATGGAAGCCAGTTTACAAGAATCCCCTGGTTTTTGTTTTGCTGGCTGTCCTTGTGCTCTCAGTGGCTACACAGATCAACTATCTCAACAAGGCACTGGACACGTTCAATACGTCTCTGGTGACTCCCATCTACTACGTGTTCTTCACGTCCATGGTGGTGACCTGCTCTGCCATCTTGTTCCAGGAGTGGTACGGCATGAAAGCTGGAGATGTCATTGGGACTCTGAGTGGGTTCTTCACCATTATCAATGGCATCTTCCTTCTACATGCTTTCAAGAATACTGACATTACCTGGAGCGAGCTGACGTCCACGGCCAGGAAAGAAGTCCTCTCTCTGAATGGCAATGAAAACAATTACGCTTTACTGGAGAACATGGAGCATTTGACCCCCGGGTACAATGATGATATTACCTTGTTTAGCAGAACTGGTGGTCAAAGTCTCTAGAAACTCTGAAATTTAGCCAATATGAGACATTCAGAGACGAGAAGGAATGCTCACTTTTTAGGAAGAACCACTAGGAAAATTAGCTTTTTTTTAAAAGACAGAATCACACTCTGTTCCTCAGGATACAGTGCCTTGGCATCAAAGCTCACAGCAACCTCAAACTCTTGGGCTCCAGCAATCCTCCTGCTTCGGCCTCCCAGGTAGCTGAGACCACAGGTGCCTACCACAACACCCAGCTTCAAAGTTAGCATTTTTAAAGTTCTAGCTAATAATGTAGATGTGAGGCCAAGTGAAAATGCCTTCATTTTGGCCATTGAATTTGAAAATTGAGTTTTTATCCTCTTCCAGAAGACATATGCTTCTTTTCATTTCTGCAAACTTTTGAAATATTCCCTAAGCATAAAAAGAAATGGACAAAGAGTTATATGTATCTCAGAATAATCTTTTGTCTGGCCACAATCTACTTGACTCTGCCACATGGCTCGTTAGGCTGGTGATAATTCATGGATATAAAGTTGACTGTGCTCTGATAAGCAGAGTGTCAGTCACCATTCTCTGAATCATAATTTCAAATTATTAAAACTTAAAAGTAAGGTCGCTGGTGCTTTGTACTCCCTTCCACAGATTCCTTCTTTTTAAACTAGATAGGCACTGAGTGAGTGTTACAGAGAAAAACAGGCCTGCTGTAGAAATCTATTCCTTAGTGAGAGGGAACTCACAAGACAGCCTTCCCATGAAGAGCTGACGGATTGTAATTTATTGACAAACCATAGGAGTTAATTACCAATTATCTCAGGTGAAGAAATACAGTTTTTTTTTTCTTTTTATGAACACACAAATGATTGTGTTCACAGGTGCCTTTAACTTAGACCTGGGGGACATAAGACAAAATGGAGTTTCTGGAAAAGTCCAAGTGAATTCAGCTTTGGAGTTACTCGTGTTCATATTCCTTTTATTTACTGTTATCCCAAAGGTATGTGCTGTTATTTTTGATGTAGAGATTTTTTATAAATAATTGCTACATTACTTCAGGATTATATTGCACAATTTAGTTTTTCTCAAATGTTTTTAAATATTCAAATGTTTTAATGGGTTTAAATATTTTAAGCCCATTAAAGTGTAGGTTTTTCACAGACTAGAATCAGAAAAATCTTTGCAAAAACCTGAACAAATTCTTTTAATAGTTCTCTAAAAATGTGGTTCTTTTACCTTTTCTTTTTGCAGTTTTTGGCCGGGGCTGGGCTCGAACACACCACCTCCGGCATATGGGAAAGGTGCCTTACTCCTTTGAGCCACAGGCACCGCTCTCTTTTACCTTTATTAAAAGGTTCTTTCACTCACCTATAAAACTAGGTGTAGGTGTATCCTACCATAATAAGTGGTATATTATCTTTTTCTGTTAAATTTCATCCTTTTTTTCATATAGCTTTATTGATAAGTTTTTTTAGGAGAATAGAATAATTAACTTCCTAGGAACCAAAATACAGTAGAACCTCTTTAAGTTGACCACCCGAAGGACTTAAGAAACTGGTCAACATATGGAGGTGATCAATACAGGGGACTAGGCCTACTGTACTGATATGTACATGTGGTGCTTGTCTGGTCTGTGAAAATTAGGTCAACTTAAGGAGGTGGTCAGTATAGAGAGGTAGTCAATGATGGGGGTTCTACTGTATTAAGATCATGGGCTATTATAGGAAAATACCTCCAGCACATTAAAACTTTCAATCTCATTTCAAATGCATAGCAGGAATAACATTTTTGGTGGTTTTTAATGTTTGTGGAAATATTTCCTATTGTTTATTGATTTTATAAAAAAGAAACTGGCTATTTTATTTTTAGACTCAATTTATATTTCTCAAAAACAAAAATCCTAACCAAAAAGTTGTCATTAGAGAAAAAAAAAAAAAACTTTCGGGTTGACTTGAATTTTTCTGCTGTAACATCAAATGTTTTTAGTTTTGTTTTTGGTTTCTAAGATAGCTCAAGACTACCCAGGATAATAACAGTAAAGTCTTTATTGAGAATTCTATTAAACTGACTTCAGCATTTCTCCAGTTCCTACTGAACTATGACTGATGTTCACAGTGACAGCCTGAGATGGCTGCAAGGCCCTGCAGTGCCTTGGTAGTCTCTTGGGCATAGTTTAGTGTTTGTTTGTTTGTTTGTTTTTAAGACAAGGTCTCACTCTGTCACTCACGTCAGGTGATGTGATCACAGTTCACTGCAGCTTAAAAGTTTTGGCCTCCAAAAATCCTACTGCCTGAGCCTCCCAAGGTAGCTAAGACTACAGGCACACATTACCATGCCCACCTGATTTTTTAAAAAAAAATTTTAGAGATAAGTCCTCAAGTGATCCTCCAGCCTCGGCCTCCCAAACTGCTGGGATTGAAGGATGCTCTTCTGGGCCCAGCCTCCAACAGTTTAGTGCTGAGTGCAATTCAGTGCAGTCTAAATTTCTGAAAATTGATAATCCATGGAAGGTCCATGGGTTGGTACCTCAGGTTTAATACATGTTTACTCTGTTGATTACTGTTTCACTTTACTTGTATTTCAGATACATAAGCTATGAGCACAAGTTTTTAGGAAAAGTATCTTCTGAAAAGGTGACATTTAAAAATTGTAAAAATTCACCTAATGTTTTTCTTTTTAGTGTTGCAACCTTTATTAGTTTCTAGAGAACACCTTCTTGGTGAGGAAGTGAACAGCATTTTTCTTGACATCCGCCTGAGGCTGTGCTCTTACGAAGTTATGTTTCAGACATTTCTTAAGTTCCACCTGTTACAAAGTTTTGCCCTCGGTAGATTGTGCCCAGGACAAAGGTTGCTGGAACACTTGGATCAATGCACGCCACGGGTTGGAAAATGAACTGGTATTGACATATATTCCCTGGAGGAAGTCTGAGAAAGATTTAATAAGTTGAAGTATGTTTAAACAATAAAATATTTGAAAAATCCAGTATATAAAAATCACTGATGGGCACATGCATTAAGCAAACAAAATGTCATTGCAAATGTAACACTAAAAATTACTTTTCCCATGTAGGAAGATAGGGTCTAAGGAAGAATAAAATGCTGGATCCCCATATTCAGAGTAGCTGTGTTAGTCTTAAGCAGTGGTTTGTATATATAATACTTTGTCGTTGTGTAGATACGTGTATGTTAAGATTTATTATGCATTATGTGTCATTAAGGATTACAAAGGATTGCAAACTTATACTTACAAAGGACAAATGGAAAGCTTTTCCTACTTCTACAAAGATAACAATTTTATTTTTTATTTCAATTTTTATTAGGTCAATGCTAAATGATTGTGTTCGTTCAGATTACAGAGTGTTTATGCAGCTATTTAGACTTAGCAGCATGAAATAAAGGCCTATTTTTTTAAGTATTATATTAAATACATGGAAATCACTTTGATGTCTGATGTATAACAGGCACCTATAATAAAATTTAGGACTCTTTGAATCAACACTTCAATTCCTACTGTTTTAATACTAGAGAAATAAGAATCAGTGCCAGTTCATACATTCTTCACTTTTCTGAATTTGTGCTACATTATTTAGCTCCTTTTAAATAATCCAAGTGAAAGCGAATTGTATTGTACTATCTCAACACCAAGGCAAGATTATTCCAATAAAAATTTTTCTTAAAACTTATAATAGAAAAAAACCTAAATGCTAATTTTCACTTTTTAACAAAGCTTTGTGGAGAAATCACTTATAGAATATATGTGAAATATTCTCAGATATTTTGAATAAACTCACAAATTTTTATATTTTTCAAATATTTCTCGATACTGTTCATTTTAGAAAATGTACAAATGTTTCTGTATATTTTTCATTTGCAATAAAGTAGTTTAATGCTCAAAATGCTTTTGAGTTCAATTTTTAGTTTATAGAAGTAAGCAGATTACTCACGAAAAGATTCCCATTTTGTTTTAGATTAAAAAGTTTCAACGTGTCAAAAACATCTACACTGATGTTAATTTTGGCGTTTCATTTCCCTTGAAATTGGAATTTGTCTCTAGAAGAAGGCTCTCCACAAAACCATCTCCCATCTAACTGATTTGGTGCCTGAACAAAGGAAACTGTCTTATCCTTCAGTAATTTTATTGAACAAGAGAGAAACTCAAAGCTGTCAGTGTCATAATACCTCCCCTGAGTTCAGTACTTTTAAAACGTATTATAAAAATACCTGCGGCCATGCTTTACAAGCCCTGGGGGAACTTCCTTCTGGCCCTGGGGAATCTCCGCTTTGTTTCCCGCATTAGCTACCTGGCCACATCTTCTTCACTTTTCCCTGTTTTAATTTGAACCCGTTTGAGAACAACTCCCTCGGTAGTTTTCAATTCATAGAAATGAATTGTCCGGGGTACAAGAGACCTCTCTGTTACCCGTGCCTGGCACCCACAATTTTATACACAAAGGAATGTGCTATTTTTTATCACAAGGTTAGGGCCCAAATGAGGCCCAAACTCCAAGCCTCCCAACACCCCAAACTGCTGATTCTCCAAATGTGGACACAGGTGTAAGGAAGGGGGACTTGGTGGAGGTCGCCGAGCTGTCTGCAGGTCCCTCAGCAGCTGCGCCTGTGTGTCCCTAACCCTGCAGCATGCTGGAGGGGCTTAACAGAGGGGTCCAAGAGGTAAACTGAGGTCACAAAGATTCTTAATTTTCACCTTAACAAGGGAGCAACTTTTTTTTTGGTTTTTGGCCGAGGCTGGGTTTGAACCTGCCACCTCCGGCATGTGGGACGGGCGCCCTACCCCTGTGAGCACAGGCGCCGCCCGGGAGCACCATTTTTCCCCCCCGAAAGCTTTGCTGGGTTGCAGCCCCCCAACTCTGAGGGCGCCAACTGCCCGAGCCGCCCTTCCATCTTCAGTGACCAATCACGAGGGGACGATTAGTTTAGCAGCAAACTTTGGCTTCGAGGGCGTGTTGGTTTTTCAAGGTCACGTCTGTGACAGTGACGGGGAAGCGGGTGTCCCCAAGCTCGGACGGAAGCTGCCCCTTCACCGTGGGCTCCGGGGTGCGCAGCTCCTCCCTGGTCAGCCGTCGGGGGACGGGGCGCCCAGCAGACCAGGCCGGGTGGCCGCGCTCAGCCAGCGGAGGCCCAGTCACCACTCGGACAGACCAGGTCGGCCCCGGGGACGAGGGAGCCACAGCCTGACCTCTGTCTGCCCAGAACTGGCCGCCACCGTCGGGCTTCGGGAATCCAGCCGGGAAGTCCAGCCGGGAAGTCCAGCCGGCGGGGGAACCGCGCGGATCTCAGCCCGCCCCGAACGCTCCTCCAGGGACTCACCGCCCAGACACTGAGCCGGCCGGGTCGTTCTTCTCTGTGAGAAGCCTGGACATCTGCAGTCCCCAACCCCGGGCAATGGGCCGGTACCGGTCTGTACGGGTCTGAGGAGCTGGGCCCACACCAAGAGTGAGCAGCGCCAGCAAGGGAGGCTTCGTCTGTGTTCACAGCCACTCAGCGTGGCCGGCTTGCTGCGCCCCGAGCTCCGCCTCCAGTCAGATCCGGGTGGCGTCAGATTCTCACAGGGTGAGACGCCGACTGTGAACTGCACAGGCGTCTAGGGTGCGGCTCCTCAGG